AGCTGTTGTTGCTGCATTTAGCCAAGTATGCATCCCAACCTTGACGACGGTATTCACGAGCGACCTCAGCAGGGTTTGCGGCTTTTATGATTCTATGGCCCCCAATTATGATGTCACTACCTCTATCATAGATGACCTGGAATAAAATTTGTTTCAGGCACAAGGCTGGCTAATAAAATAGTAGAGTAATATGAAATGCAGGTCGAAATATAGACAAGTGATATAAAAGCCCATTTGAGCGATCCCTCGAAGAATGGTGTGAACATCAAATCTCTTAAGTTATGGTTGCCAAACCGATACGAAAGTAGTGTAGTATATAGTAAACTTACAGAGTTTGGAGTGTTATATTGCTGGCCAAGAGCATCACTGCCAGTCACCAATTGTACTCCAGAAGTTGCCTGGATGAAAACTGGATTTACAGGTGCCCCTGGCCATGATGCTGGATTAACTGAAATGAAGCCAATCACAAAATCAGAATGCTCATCCGCAATCTTCACCACGGTAACTGTGTAATCTCCCTTTGCAAAGTTACCGGCTGAGCTCATTTCAGCAAGGAACAATAGGCCCCTGCCACGTGGCAAACCCTATGAGAGAGAAAGTACAAAAGCAGTAAACAGTTAGGAAAAATGAATTATCTGAGCAAAATTAATGCAGAGAGATCCATCAGTTCAAAGTTGCATAAACCTTCAACTTTAGTCTGTCAACTATCCGGGGACCAGAGATTATATGACAGTTGACAATATCAGCCCAGTCGAGTATATGGAATATACCCCTACAAACAGAAGAACCGAGAAGCTAAAGGAAGGGAAATGATACTAATAGAAAGAAAAATAAGAAGAAGAAAAAAATGAGCCTGAGCCTAAACCTCACCCTTTATACTGCATTGTTACTGTGTTACCAATGTCTGCAAACTTGTGATCTTCGAAAATTAGGAAATTATGTTTCTCTGCAATCTTCAATTGGACAAGGCACATATCAGCTATAACTTCACAATTTCCAGAAGCTTTGCTTGATTTAACTAAAACTTAAGCAGAAATTAAGAATAGATAAAAATTTACTATCTCAATCTGCAGCAATATTCATATCAATGCCATTAAGAAATTATAAAATCCATATGAACCAGTAGTCATCAATCATAATTAATATCAAGTTGTACATTGCAAAAAAAAACAAGTTTAGAGATATACCGAGCGAAGTTTAGAGCCAAAATCTGGAGTTAAATCGGGCAATATATCGACATGGGTTTTCAGTAAACATATCTTCGGCCCAACCTGCATTAAAATGTATAGAGTATACCATCAGTAACCATCACAATCATAGATATTCATTTATCCCCCACTCCCTAGTTCAAATCTGTATTAAAAAATTCTATGATGGTCCGCCATTCTATACTTCGAGGTGTTTAACCATTAGATCTTGATCTTTGTATCTTTGACCGAATATCTAACAGTTACAAAGTATACTTGGAAATCTCATTCGTGTCATAAAAATTGGCCTCATCCGTATGATGTAACATTCGTCTATCTCCAAACCTGCATGGCAGTTCATAGTCCAACTTCTTGGTAATGCCCACGTGTATCAAAGAGGTCAACTTCTTGTCTCAAACGATACAATTCAAATCAGCAGATGCTTTCATAAATTTTTAGGGAAAATTAAAAAATTCCAAGAAAATCTCACATTCTCAACAATGTCGAGCAACTCCTTGGCAGTCCCAACATCGGCAGCCACACATAGATTGCTCTGCTTCTACACTATCACCTCGAAAAGCCGTTTCCCTTGTGGGATTCTTCGACACCTTCGCTCTCTCCTCAAACAACAAACCCTTAACCCTAACTTTCTCCACGTTTGTCGAAACAACCGGCGGCGGCGGCGCCACCTTCCAATTCTCCTAAAAAAACTTCAAAACAATCCCCTGTGTCTCCTCCGCGATCTTCCCATTCTCCTTCAACACCTTCACCATCTCGCTCAGGCGAAACAGCGAGTGCAATCGAATCTCGTTCTCCTCCAAATTCTCCCTACCTCCTTGCTCCCGATCGATGAAAACGACGATGTCTTGGACCTTCAGCCCTGCGGCGCGTAAGGGCGCAGCCATCTCCAAAATCAACGCGTCGCTTGTAACCAAGTCCTCGATTATGAGGCAAACTTGTTCGAGCTTAAAGATGCCTTCAATAGCCTTGGCGGTTCCGTAGTCCTTGACCTCCTTGTGGTGCATGAGCATGTGAAGGTCATGGCACGTGCTGATGCACGTGGCGATGGGGAGGCGGTGTAGGGCACACCACAAATGAGGTCGTAGCGCGTGGAGGAGGGGACATTGGCGATTAGGATTTAGGAGATTTGGCTGAGGAGGGAGGGGTATGATACAATGAGGCGGAGGTCTATGTAGATTAGGGAGAAGATGCCAGATTTGAATTTGAAGATGCCGGATTTGAGTTTGAAGTTGCCGAACTTGACGGCGGCGATTTCGTGGAGTTTGAGGATGATGGACTCGATAGACGACAAAGACGCCATTCTGATAAGGCGGTGGCGGCGGATGACTGTTTTTGCTGTGAGAATATACAGCTGTAAAATAAAGTTGTTAAGTGTTTGGTAAACATTTTTTTGTAAAAGTGTTTTTAATAAAAATTAAAAAAAAACAATAGTATCTGAGTGTTTGGTAAATTTTTATATAAATTGCTTTGAATATGTTAAATGACTAAAAAAATAATATTTAATGTGATATAATAATTGTCAAAAACAATAATGTAGGTACAAAAATAGTAATTTTGTAAAACATGTGGGAGTATACTTTTCATTTGAAAAGTTCATTAAATGAGCATTGATTACAATGTTTTGAAAGAAAAAAATCATTTTTTTTAGAAGCATGGTAGACACTACCTCTGCTTTTCTACTTTAATTGATAGCAGTTAAAAAAAAAAACATTTTTTTTTTGTTTTACCAAACACTTTTTAATAAACTTTTTTTTTTTTTTTTTTTTAATGTACCACAATCCCAAATCAACCCTTATGGCGTGTTTACGAAACCGGAATGGAATGGCAAGAAACGGAATTGGATTTTTTCTAGGCATTCAAGCTGTTTACTAACATTTCCGGAATAAAAAACAAGATGGGGTCCACTTAAAATCAGGAATTGGATCCCTAAATCTCTCGGAATCGGATCCCCTAGATGGAGGTGGTATTTGGATTCCGGGGAGAAGGCTCTTCCAATAATCTAACTTTTATACCCAAACTACCCCCGCATCTTCTACGTCCCCCTTCGTACCTGTGACTCTCTTTGCCCAATCTGCCGACTCCCTTGCTCGTTCACCAGCTTAATCATGATTCTGGATGATTTTGTGCCAGGATTTGAGACGCGTTCGGTATCTGGAATTGAAGCGGCAGTGGTGGTCACTACACTCTAACACCTGGAATTGAAGCTGCAGTGGTGGTGGATCCACTGCTATGGTGGTTGTGGGGTATATTCGGCTGTGTGGTTGGAGAGAGATGGAAAAATAAGAGGGGGAAGCGGAAAAATAAGAGGGGGAAGCTAAAGGTAGTTTTGGGGTATGAGGGCGCTGAAGATGGTTTTGGGGTATGAGGGCGGTGCGGAGTTTACGAGAAAGAATAAAAATGAAGAGTTTATGGGTGATTGGGAACCGAGCAAGGAGATTTGTTGGGTGTAATTTAATTTAATTAATTAGTATGAAAATAATTTATTTATGTAAAGGCAATTTAGTACTCATATTAGTTTTAATTCCGATTGAAGTGAATTAGTAAATAACTTATATGAACTCAACATCATTCATATTCCGATTCCAGACAATTATAGTAAACAACTTTAACAGGAATCTGATTCTGATTCCACTTCATTTCAATTCCTCATCAATCCAATTCCTCCTCAATCTAATTCCTCTCAATATGATTACGGATTAGTAAACGCGCCATTAATGTATCAATAAGTTGTGGTAGGCAAATCCCAAGTCCCTGATGAAGTTGGGCTATATAGCCTATAGCTAATTTGGGCTCTCAAGTTGGGCCGTCGGCTGTTGGATGGTATTTGGGAGGTCACCAATGTGCAAAATCTTTTTTGGAATCATTTATTTATTCATTATTCATTTGTTCTTAATTTTAATTCTCAAATCATTTCACCCTTAACACACACAAATTTCACAAATCATTTCATCATTCCCTACTCATTGGCCCTTTCAAGCCATTATTACCATAATTTCTGTCCTTACTTTTTAGATAATCAAAAGGCTTACAAGCCAACTAAAATGTTCACTTCTTAAACATATTTTCAAATTTATTTATCCTTCAAATCTTTATATTGTCCAAAACTGAATGGAAGCCAAACCTGCTAAACCAAATCGAACCAAACACCCAATGGGCCACTAGTAGCTTGGTTTGGTTCGATTTCACTTTGTAGGTTTAGTTAAAATCTAATTAAACGAAACCATATTTTATAGTAGTTAACAAGAAAAAAATTGATGGTTCAATAGTAAAAGAGAAAGTGTTAACATGCACGAACTTTTGATCTTATAGAGGTTACTTGTTTAGTTACGTTTCTTTCAACATATTTGGGCTTCAAGTTGGTTTAACTAGTTTTGGATTGAAACTAGGCTAATGGTTAATTGGAAATTGCGTTTAAAAAAGAAATGCTGAACAAAAATAAATAAAATATTAATTTACATATCCATTCAATTTTTGAACCACTAAAACTCAAACCGAACCAATAATTTTATGGTCAATTTGATTTTTTTAGTTCCGATTTGATTTTCATTTGATTTGGTTTTTTTTTATTTCAATTCAAAATTCGCTTCAATTTTTTTCGATTTTCGATTTTTCGAGCCCCCCTCTAATTCTGGCTGTCCCACACTAGGGTGAACAGGAAGAATCTCTCTCTTTTATGGGATCAACGCACGCTTTCCCTCCCCCCACTTAAAATAATTGCCATTAGTTTTCTTGGTAAAGGGAAAAAACAATCCCAAAAGTAAGCAAGCGACCCCATAACCATATAAAATTAACAACACCCACCCTCCTTCTTCCTCCTCTGAGTCAGTCGGTCTCTCTCCTGCCAAATATTTTTCACAGATTGCACTTTCTCCCACTCTAATCCAACCTTTCTTTAATCCAAAAAACCCATTTGTTATAGTACATTGCTGTCTCTGATACTCCATCTCTCTCTCTCTCTCTCTCTCTCTGTCCACCCACATTCATTTGGAAATTCTCTCCTACCCTGCAAGCAAAAGCAGCTTTCACCTTTTCTGTGGGTCTCTCTCTTGTTTCTGGGATTGTGTGCTTTTACTCATTGAGATCTGCTTAAAAAATGGGTTACTCCCCAGGCACTTTCACCTACTCCAGAGAGCCACCCAATGCTCCTCCTCCTCTTCCTCTACACACTTCCTCCTCTTTAGCCATACATCACCATTACTACAATGACCACAGACTCAAAACCCTTGTAAAGAAAATGTTCAGGCAGCTTGGTCTGGCCTGCTTTCTCCCACCTCCTCGCCGGAGGACGACCAACCAGAAGACCCCATTTGATGACGACGGCAACAATGGCGGCAACAGCAGCAACAACAACAAGAAGATAAATTTAGAGCACAACAAAGCGTGGCTGCTGGCGGAGTCCGGCGGGTGTGGGGCGGAGTTGGCAAATGCCGATCCCCAATCGGTTCACTCCTCTTTCAGGTTCAGCTTCTGCTCTCAGGTCGAGCTGGAATCCATGAACATGAGCTCCTCCGCCGCTGCAACGGTTCTAATGGTGAATTTGGGAGATGGGTTGTCTGAATCCAAAGCTAAAGAGATGCAATGGAGGAGATTTGAGTCGTTGGAGAGGAGCATATCCCCAGTGGCTCACACGCTGATCAGATTTAGCTACGGTGAAATTCTCGCAGCTACTCGTAATTTTTCGAAAGGTAATCAAATGCGTTTGTTTTGTTTGAATCAAAATTTGATCTTTTATTGTATGAGATTGTAATGGAATTTGTTGTTCTGGATAGGTAGAGTTTTAGGGAGAGGAGCTTTGAGCTGTGTGTTTAGAGGCAGAGTTGGGATTTTGAGAACTGCTGTGGCGATCAAGCGATTAGACAAGGAAGATAAAGAGTCTGCTAAGGCATTTTGTAGAGAGCTGATGATTTCTTGCTCTCTTCACCACCCAAATGTAACACCTCTTGCGGGATTTTGCATCGATCCAGAGGAGGGTTTGTTTTTGGTTTATAAGTATGTCTCCGGGGGAAGCTTGGAGTGTCATTTACATGGTGAGTTCTCTTGCTTCGGTCTTTTGAACTCGAATTTGATTTGAATTTGGTGAGTTTTTTAGTGATTTATGGCACATACACATTTACAGAGAAAAAGAGGGGAGTTAAGGGCTCTGCAACACTTCCTTGGTTCGTAAGGCACAAGGTTGCTATTGGAATTGCTGAGGCAATTGCATATCTGCATAATGGAACTGAACGCTGTATTGTTCACAGAGATATCAAACCCTCGAACATTCTCCTTTCGTCCAAGAAAACTGCCAGGGTAAATGGAGAGCAATTTTATGGACTTCATTCTGGTTTGAAATTGAATCTTTTGATTGATTGACTGCGGTTTATCGACATTGCTTGCAGCTATGTGATTTTGGATTAGCCACTTGGACTTCCGCACCTTCCGTCCCTTTCCTTTGCAAAACTGTCAAAGGAACATTTGGGTATGATCTTGAGGAAACTTGACCATAAAGAAACACTTTTTTCCTGTTGCTTGTTCCATGAAGATTTTTTTTTATTCATTGCACAATTTTTAAATGGCATGTGCAGTTACTTGGCTCCTGAGTATTTCCAGCACGGGAAAATATCCGATAAAACTGACGTGTATGCTTTTGGGGTGGTCTTGCTGGAATTGATAACTGGTAGGAAGCCGATTGAAGAAAGAAGGCCACAAGGAGAAGAAAACTTGGTTCTATGGGTAGGTGCATCTTTCTATCTTCTTTTTGTGCCTTTAGCTCTTTTTTTACTATGTGATGGTGAATTGATGGGCCCTTGATTGCTTCTCATGCTTGACATAGTTTCTTTTCTTGTAATAGCTTATTCTTCTATGACAAAGCGATATTCTATTCTAATCTAATTTATAGGAAGTGGGATTCAAACACATGTGTAAGGGGAAGACACACTATCCTGGCTAATTGGCCTAACCCACGTCTCCTTAGAAGTTTATTATAAACTTTTTTAAAAACATTCATTCATTCAATCGGGTTGCTTACTCCCTTGGATAGACACTTTGCTTGGCAAGGGTTTTGTCTACCAACCACATCACTTTCTGAGAATCAAATTTCTTGAATCATTCTGTAAACTTTCTGTATGGTGTTTAGAGCAAGTCACCAAAACTTCTTGTTTAAAATATGAACGATGTATGGTTGCTATAAGTTATAACTCACACGTGTCAACTTCCGTTTTTAATCAGGCAAAGCCCCTCTTGTGTAAAGGGAAAGGAGCTATTGAGGAGCTGCTTGATCCACATATAAAATGCACTTCGAGAAATTCAAATCAAATAGCCCGGATGATTGAAGCTGCAGCTGCCTGCATAACGAGTGAAGAATCCCGAAGACCGAGCATTTGTGAGATAATGGCAATACTTAAAGGTGAAGAAGAATGTATCGTTTCCAAGAGGAAGAGGCCTAGTTTTCTGGGGAGTGGACTGGTCATTGATTGTCATTCTCAGTTACAGCAAACGAAAAGCGAGGTGCAGAATCACCTAGCTTTGGCTATGTTAGGAGTTTCCGAGTTTGAAGACGATGATCACCTTTGCGCTTGTTGATACATTGCACCGGAACTATCTGGATTTTTCAGTTCTTAGATTTGTTGTTGCTTGCTTGAACTCTGAACAGAGTGGTATGCTAGAAGTGAGTACGAGAGTTGATATTGTAGGTAGGAATAGGAGTCTGCTGTGTATATATCTTCCATGTACCTGTCCCTATCCAACTATTCTAACAGGAAAATTGTAACACATTTTTCTTCTTTTTTTAGTTTAAAGATTTTGTGTCATTGTCATCTTAACTTGTAAGCGAAATATCATAGCTTCAAATCTCGTGGAGGGTGAGTTCATTATGAATTCCTTTTTCACAATGGTACGAAGAACGACGCTTGCAGCTCACGTTTGCTTGAGAGATTTCGTAAGAAGAAAACTGGCCCGAGTTAGACATGATTTTTAAGATTTTCGTTGAACAATGGCTAGTTCTCCAAAACTGAAGCTATTATTAAACTCAAAATTCTCACTTGCAAAGAAGGTTATGGCATCTTGTTGGACAACCATTAAGCCTTGAAACTCGAAAGCTAACTTCTCAGAGCATCTTCGATGGAGATTTCAAAAAATAAATGTCAAATGTTAATTTGATGGCTGATGTGACAATGTCAGATTTTCTCTTCCTCTAGCCCATATATTTTCTTTGTTATAAATATTATCTGTAAGACCTATTTTTAAAAATAAATAAATAAAAATAAATTTTCAAGATTTATAATTTGTGGATTAACAAGATCTACACAATAAAATATTTTAAAAAAAATTAATCGACACCACCTTTTCTTAAATGCCTAATTTGACAATAGAATTGACATATCGATTGAAATTTCTTCGTATCTTCAAATTTGATTGCGTAGCGTTCCACTTAAAATTTAGTATCTCATTTAGAGATGGTGTATAACATTTGACCCTTGATGGCAATTAGCTGGAACATTTGATATTTGAAGTGCCATTAATTCAAGTCTCAAGGTTTTTGGTTATGGTATTCATAAATAGGATATGTGGACTGGTTTTTGGTTACAGTGTCACATCAAACGTGATTTTATTGGCCAATTGCCAGATTTTAGCCAAATTTTGCCATTTACAGGCAGCATTTTCCAAATAAATAAAATTAACATCCATGCACATGTAACATGATATGTAGATACATTGACTTCCTATACATTTTTTGATGTACACTTGAATTTGGGGTCATATGCATTTTATATACACACACACACACACAAGCAAACAACATTTTGTTTTCTTTTCTTTTTTTGATGAAAATTATGGTAAACAACTTGTAATTTTTTTTTTGCCTATATAAAATATATGAAAATAATTATAAAGTGGAGTTTGCAGTTTAAGTGATTAAAAGCATTCGTTCATAGTTTCAAAATCATGTGTTTCAGTTTCTCATTTGCGAGCACAACTCATATATAAATAAATAAATATACCAAGATATCATTTGGCATGTGTACACTTAAACAAATGGTACCATATGTATGGTATGGGAAAATAAGAAGTTTACAGTCCAACTACCAAATCATTTCTATTCAAGAAAAATTGAATTAAAACAGAAACACACAACACATTAAAGAGAATGGCATAAACAAATTAATAAAATTGAAGATGAACATTGCCACTAAAATATCTTGGCAACATCCTTAATTAAACCACGGTTAGCTAGAGCAAAATCCAAGTACTCCTTGTACGAAATGAAGCCATCACCATCGGTATCAATCTCCGCCATCATAAACTTCACTTCATCTGGTTGAACACAGCCTAGTGTTTTTAATGCATCTCCTAGCTCGGTTGCAGAAATTAGGCCATCGCCGTTGGTGTCAAACCGCTTGAAAATTCTCTCTCGATCAGCCTTTTCTTTAGGATCTTCTTCAGCCATTTTTTACAATGGTTAGATCAAAATGTGTTTTCTCTAGGTCGAGTTTTGGTTTCTTGATGATTAATGAATGTGAAATTGAGATGTAAAAGCAAATATTGTTCTGCGATAAATGAATGAAGTGACCGATAAAAAGTTTGGTTCTTAAAGAGATGGTTTTCTAAAAGGGTAAGGTAGTCCTTCAAATTAGGGGTTTGAAAATGAGTTGCGGATACTTGCCTATGAAACTTTCAACAGTTTTACCCAAATAAGGAAAAAGAATTTTTCTAACATAACTTGTTGTAGAGCTTGTTGTTCGGGAAATACATAAATCCTCACTAGTCATTTTTGTTCTTACAATCTAGCGTCTAAGAAAATAAATGCAGGTGTCTTTTTCTGCATAAATAAAGAAACGTGGACATATATTTGGTTTGTTTTGGTGGATAATTTTTGGTCAATTTGTAAGAGGATTGGTTACATGTTTTAGTGGTTTATCCATTTTTATTACTATTTAAAGAAAAAGACAGTTGCCATGGTTCGGTGAAATAGTACTAATCGATGTGTTAACCAAAAATGGAAAGTTCTTGAAGGGACCACTAAGTGCATTCCACGCGTCAAATACATGTGGTGAGATGAGAATCATGATGTTGAATGGATTATGTGATTTGGGAGATTTTCTTTTAATTGACTGTCACATTACTTATAATTTTTAAACTTATTTTTTATTTTTCTTTTTGGTAAATATTTTTTAATTTTTATTAAACGCATAATATTGATCACATTGCTACATTTTAATACACATGAGCCTTACTTTGTTAGGCTCACTTGTATTAGAATGTGTTAGCAACGTAGCCAATTTTGAGTGTCGTACACCCATATTATAAACATCGAAATTAATAACACCACCACTTAACAGTGCGGCTCTACCATAGTTTAGTTGTCTTCTTCTTTACTTATAGCTGAGAGATTTTAAGTTCAATTCTTATCAAGGGCAAATTCGAACCAACCCAATTATTATGGTTAGTCAATTGTGAGGCTTGACCTAGTATCTCACTGTTAGTATAAATAATATCGTATGTATGAAAAAAGAAAAAGACAGAGTGGCCATAAGTTTCGAAACGACGTGCTCTAACAAAGGACGATTGACTGAAAGGACTTGTTTCCGGCAATATTCGGTTCTAAGTCCCATATGAGCTTGAGAATGGAAGTTCCAGAAGATTAGGTAATCAAGCCTAACAAATGGATTCCACAATCAAGGAAACAAAAGAGAAGATTATAGAAAGCAAACAATACAAGTGATTTGCAAGAACATAGCTTGTACATTCTAGAGACAGTAACACCACGTAACAATGCAGCCATGTTGCTTTTAGTCCACGAAAATTACATGCTTGCTCGATAAAAACTTTTAACAAGTCCCCGACTTTGTATGGGGGTCACTTAAAAACTAGAACTGATAATATACCCGATACAAAGCTATATGGTAAGTTGTAGGCAGAACAAAAATGCGTAGTAAAATAAACGATGAAAATATCTGGATCAGAAACATGAGAAAAGTAAAAGAATGTTATTAATGTCGTACCTCAGAACGAACGTTTATTGAATTACAGTGACATGGTGTTATACAATCAACAACTTATTTCCTTGAACCAATTAATTTTGCTACAAATGGTTGAGGTCTACCTCACAACACCACGAACTGGCTACGACAGTAGATCTGAAGTTTACATTTATTGGAAAGCAGGTAGTTATACTTACTTGAAAAAACCTAGGCTACAGACTTGAGAAGGACATTCAACACCGATTCTCGAGTTGGCAAAGCCGGAATAGCACCTCTCCCCATCACAGTCAATGCGCCGCAAGCGTTGGCAAACAGGAGCGCATCTCTCAGTTTGTCCTCGTCCTGCATTTCAAATCCAGATGGCCACTCTCTTTAGGTTGACAGGCATAATCTATTGTTAAAAAAAAAACATAATAATGTAGGATATAACTTCTAACGCTATATTTTCAGTCAATAAAATGGACGACAAGTACGGTTTAAATGCAGTACATGCTTAAATCTAAGTCTTTAATAAAGAAGCTCTACCACTATCCAACACTAAGTTTATAATTTGAGAATTTCAACAAAAAAATGTAGTTCCCAAGTCATATGATGAATAACAAATACGTCAAAAACATATAATGTTGAAATTATCTTCTACAACTCAAAAAGCAATTGTCACCTGTACTCTGTTCTAGCAACGTCTGGAATAAAGGTGACTTTCTTATTCTTCAAGAGGCAAGATCACAGTTGCCCAGTTAATTAGGAAAGGATTTCCAAGGAAGATAACTAGTACGTAGAGAGTTTAGGCTATCGTTTTTCAATTTAACCCAATGATACCCCTCCTCCCTAACATTTAACAATGTAACCCACTAACACTAAAATAACCCTAGTATGTAGACGAGGGGATTGGAAAAGGATTAGACATGAAGAAAACTCATTCATTCTAATCCTACCATTTTTTGGATAGGATTGGAATGGATAGATTTCTTCATGAGTAATCCATCTTCTATCCTCTAGTTGGTCATAGTTTTTTCTTTTCTCCCCTCAACATGCCTTGAGATTAGGGATTTACCCATTCCCAATCCAATCCTACGTATCAAACAAGCCCCAAAGTTCTCTAAATTTTTGTGTCCGAGATGCAGTACCTGAAGCAAAGAAAGATCAACAGCTAGCTGTGATAATATTCCAGCCACAAATGCGTCCCCAGCACCAGTGGTGTCCACTACATCTACCTTCATACCCTTGACTCTTCCACTGAATTCCTGCAAATACATAAAATGTGCGGTTTCAGATACACAAACGCTAGGAAGAGAAGTATATTGCGGTTTCAGAAATGTTTGGAAAAAGATGCGCAAAGAGAAGCAAGCAGTCTAAATTGCTCCTACTTGGTATTCACACGAGAATCAAATTAATTGCTTTTACTGAGATTTCTAATAAAATCAAACTAATTCACCAAAATTGATATATACTCACTTTATAGTATCATCAATATCAAACTGTGCAATTAATACATTCATCATTTTTTTTCATAAACTTTCAACATATCTCAAACACTCTTATGATATTACTTGAACTACTTTTTTATTAAATTAATAATACTCTAAGATTCAGACGTTATAATGCATGAGTCAATGTGTAACAGCATATTTGAAAGCTTACCTTGGTGTAGTACCTGCAACCATCAGGGCCCTCAGTGACCAGAAGTAATTTAAGATTTGGGTGGTACAATTTTCGAACAACATTTTCATCATATGGATCTTCTCCTTCCGTTAGAAAAGAAATCTCTTCTTCACTTATCTGAAAAACAAATAATCAAATTTTCTGACACAATATTTCCAATTTCTTTTAGCACTTCCCCTTTACCATTTTCACAAAAGGGGCAATGAAAATCAAATATGAACCTGCATAGTTAAAGGTTTAATTACCTTGATAACATCAGCAGAGTCCCATATACTCAAAATTCCTTCTCTAGCACTCTTTGCGGAAGGCCACAGTGGAAGCCTGAGGTTGGGATCGTAGGACAGAACTACACCAGCGTCCTTTGCAGCTTTTGTTGCTGCAATATGAGCCGACTTGCATGGTTCCGTGATAAGACTTATAGAACCATAATGTAATATTTTTGCCTGCCACAGGATGGTCAAGACAGATTCCGAACATTACTATAAAGAAAATGACTAACAAGTCAAATAAAAAATGGGTGGTGCTATCCACACACCACCCCTTTTTACTTTCTGCACAGCACAGCCCTCTCAATTTCCGGCCAATGGATTGAATGAATTGAAGAAGATCAAAGGACAGAAATTAACAAGAGGTGTGTGGATAGCACCACCTTAAAAAATAAACGGACAAAACTCTGCAAAATAAAATCATGTCAAACACGCATGCAAGTTGATATCCAACAATAAGAAGAGCCCAAAATGGGGTGACCAAAATTAAACACACTGATACTGGAGTCTGCAGCCGTCATGATGTCACAGATGCACAAATGTAAGTGGGTTTGGAACTTTGGATTCTAGAATAAAGAGTTCAAATTTAAGTATCCTTCTCATGTGAGGTGTACTATGTGATATTGAAAAGTTGGTTTAGGTTTACCAGTCTTTAATCAGATGATATATTAGTTCTCTAGACATTTCCTTTATAACTAATATTTATCTTTGCCTTCTTTTGACTCTTTACAATTATAATCTTTCAGTGTTATTTAACTAACAACAGCAACTGTTTCATACCTTCCTAATTAAATCAAAATCAAGTTCAGCTTCTTGAAGCAACATATCAGCACTAGGGTTACGATAAAACATGAACTCACGTTCCCCATCACTCCTCAATGTAACAAATGCTAAAGCAGTTCGTGCACCAGGATCAAAACGCAATCCCTCATTGTTCACATTATTCTCCTTTAGTATATCAGCAAGCATGTATCCAAATTCATCTTCCCCGACCTGCAGGCATTGCATAAATATAAAATACCTGAAAGGATAAGATTGCCCTGAACTTAAGATTTTATAAAACAGTAAAAAATTGGCACAACACAAGAGAACTAGTTTTGTTTTTGTTTCGCTACTTTAATGCAGAAGAAGAACTCAGATGCAACAATACAGCTAAGAAATACAATAGAAAACTAGGTTGAAAGTGTCTAAGCATGCACAATGCAACTATGATAGGCAAGGTACGCTATGTTGAAAGTGGTCAAATTATTAGTTAATGACTCAAAATATTAAGTAACTGTGGACTTCATATAGAAACCAGAACAACAATAATATGGATACATATGTTTAAAATGATACCTTTCCAATAAAAGCTGATGAGCCACCAAGACGAGCTATGCCAACTGCAACATTAGCAGGGGCTCCTCCAGCAGCTTTTTTAAATGCAGGTGCTTCAGCCAATGAAAGTCCATTAGTAGTTGGGACAAAATCAATCAGCATTTCCCCGAAACAAACCACAAGGGAGGATTCTTTTGTGTCCGATAGCACATCTCCTGCAAATGCTTTTCCTAAAATATTTTACTGTCAGGCAGTGAAAGGCTCAGTTTTTAACAACAGAAATTTTGATAATTAAGTAAGCAGAAGACCAAAAGCTGTATGGTAATGTCACTCATGATTCAAGTCATATGCAAAGCACGTTCTGCACAAATAGCGAAATTTAAGAAAGCACAAGCTCATGGTCCTAATTACAGCAATCCAAGAACAATGTGTAGAATCCAGGAATTTAGTTTGGCAATTTCATGGTGTGCACATTTACTGAACAGTGACGTCAAAATAGAACTTGCAGTGCATTATAAAATGAGACAACTTGGATGCCTAAAGAGCATCAGGAGTAAAGGTGGAATTAAGACAAAGTCAAGACAATCAAGATGGAATCAAGACAACTACGAGTAGATCAAGACATCACCTGACCTCTAGAGTACTTCCGGGTTTTGGTTAGGGTTAAAGAGACTGAACTATGATAAGTTCTTCGAGCGACAAACATAGAGATAGCATGTGCCGAGAAGTCTAGAATAGGATATGACTAAGATCCTTAGGAGTAACTAAAAACTGAATAGACATTAGGCACAATAAAAAGTCAAAACACAAAAAATCACAACTAAATTAACATTCAGGATGCCTAAAAGCTGTCCTGGAAGACAAGGACATTGGCTGGTCAACCAGCCACCCTCTAAGTGGGCTGAAAGGTTTTCTCGGGGAACCAGATACCCCTGGTCAACCAAAGATTTCAGCAGTCGACCAAGATAACTCAGCTACCACAGCTTTTCGGTGCACAAGGGTCTTTTACCAGTGAATTATCCCCTTCAACTATCTTTACAAAATCAAACTTTCAAATGTATTTGACATGTTGACCATGAGCTGCTGGCTCTGTTTGAACCTAAATGCTCCTATAACTCTCGGAAGAGAGCAATACCAAGGGAGTGATGCTCCTCTCAACTGTCCCATGGCCAATCGAAACATCTCTTTTAGGTTTTGGATGCTTAGTGGATTCCCCACCTCTTCTCTAATGGAGGACTTCAGTGTGAACACTGACGTAAGTTATCTGGTATATTATGCTGGAATCTGTTTTGCTTTGCCTAGATTGTTTTAATCCTTACTAGAACATTTCTCCTCGATGCCAGCATGCACTGCTCTCCAGTCTCTACCTCGGAACTTTCCAATATCCTTCCTTCTTGTTTCCTTCTCATATTGCGGAATCCTAAAATCCTAAGCTGGATGACATTTCTTAACATTTTGCATTTGCATTTATTTTACAATTAAAAGGTCCCGAAACATCGCTTGCAGCTTTCACTTCAATTGCCAAAGATAAAGATAAAATCGGGACACTTATAGAGCTAGACGTCTCACATATGTAGCCAACAAGAACCAATCACAACAATGCAATTCTAACATTCATGATCCAAATACCCAAACGAAAATTTGACCAGAAAATGCAAATAATGCCCAACAAACTCCAAATACCCAAATGAACAATTCATACAATACTTCAATCCAATCCAGGAACATCACACAAACTCCCCCAAATGAACAATTCATACAATACTTCAATCCAATTCAGGAACATCACACAAACGCCCACAAAGTACGTCATAATTCAGCAAAATAATCAGATAGATAAACCAAACAAAACCAGTATTCCAAAGAGGCTGATAGAACTCAGAAACCAAAGCATTACCTTGGACATTCGATCTGGCAATGGAGGAAGAACTGAGAGGTGGTGGGGAAGCAAATGCAGAGGCTCTGACTGTCCGTTGACTAAAAGAAACTGAATTGCGAGGCAAAGAAACCACCCCGCCGAAGCAGAAAGCAGTAGAATGAAGAGCCATCAAAACAATCGCAGACCCAGAAGAGAATTCGAACCAGTTGAGATCTTCCAAATTCGATTTTACTCTGAAGCTCTTGCGGGAGAGAAGTAGCGTAGTCGTAATGTTTGTCGCCTCGTCAAAGTTCTTTGGACTGCCGATGGACTATGTTGTTCTAAATGGTTGGTCCCCCCGAAGCCGTTGTTTTGTTGCCATGTGTGACGAAATCTATTCCATCGTCTATTCTATTCTCACCAGACAAAATTTGATTTTGAATCGGGCATTCCATCGCATAATTTGAATATTCTGCGGACCATAGTGTTCGAAATTTAAGATCAGAAAATTCGGACTTTTTGTTTATATGAAAGCTCTATAAAAAATCTAAATTTTTTTAATTGCGTGAGATGAGACAACGAAATGAGTTAATAAGAATCGTCAGATTTAATTTCAGTAATCTAGATCGTCTTGTCCTTAAACTCCTGTACTCCGGTGTATTTGATGCAGTAGTCAATATTATAAATGAGTGTTACAAAGGGAGTTACGTTGCGATCCTTTAAAATTAGTGTTAGGGAAGGGTATTTTTGATTTCATGCTTCTTTGCGAGGCACAAAAATGTAGCACCATCGTTGTGATACCAAAAGTTAGTGTTACGGCAAAATATGTCAAATTTCTGTGTTGAAATGATTACAATGCACTTTTGGTGTGATGTCAAAAGCATGAGCGAGTCCAAACATAGACTAAGTTCGTATATGTTCTTATTGTCCTACATCATAGCAAACATCGTCATGGCTATACTATGGTAAGAATTTTATACACCAATTTAGCGCAAGACTATGAGAACGGGAAGAATTCAGGAAACGATGAAGACGGAGAAAATTCCAACAATACCACACCCACACAGAAGGAGCTGGAAAATCAAGTACTGTCAAGTACTTCTTATTGTGTCATAACGAGAGTGAGTAAGTTGTAACAAAACACGCCACATACTCGCCCTTACTATGATACATCATGCACAATTAAGTTAAGACTTAAATCATCTTTATGACTTAATACAAATCCCAATGGGTTCGGTCCCAACGTGGCTCGTTAACCCAAAAATAATACTAGGCTCAAATTGAACCCCTAAATGCCGATATGATTAATTAACTAATTTAACTTATTAGATTCAAAACTAATAAATCTAATTAACTATATTCGGCACGTGTTCAATTTTATATAATATTAGAGTGCGATTCCAATTGTTTTAGTGAATTAAACCACTTTTTTTTCTTTCTCTCTCTTAACAAGGACAATAATCATTAATCATTGAGAGTCAGTTAGACGACCATAAGAGCAACTCCAGCCATCCTTGTTGCTCGGGGGACAAGCTCCAGGAAAGGGCCCGAGGGCCGGTGGGAGGAGGTCCAGCGGTGAAGGGTCCGAGTGAGGGTGGGAGCCCGAGTTGCAGGCCCGTGGAAAATTGACAGGTCTGGTCCCCGAGCCTTGTGACGTCACGCTGACGCAAGGGCTGGGTCCGGCCTTTTTTTTTATTTGTTTTGTGTCAGGCGCGTGTCCCTCACTCGCGAGTGGGGGCGCGTCGTCCGACAGGATTTCAGGGGGGAGGGCCCGCGCGCTCAGACATCCCAGTTATCATTGGGAAGCCACGTGGCTTCCCACGGTTCGTTCGATCCCAACGGTTCTTTAATAAGAACCGTCCGATTTGCAACGGTAATAAAAAAAAAGTTGATTTTATATCAACCGTTCGATCTGAGATCAACGGTTGATATTAATCTGCTTTATAAATTTAAAAAAAAAATAGTTTTAAAATTAATAAAAGTTACCGTTGTGACACGTGGCACAATTTGGAGTGTTAGAATTCAAAAATTTTTAAATCCAACGGCAGAGATTAATTATTTGAATAAAAACTTTAAAAAATCCGAAAAATTTGTAAAAAAATCTGAATTTTTTTTTTATAAAATGACACGTGGCGCAACGAGAATGATTTAAAAAATCTTATCCGAAATTACAAATAATTTTATTTTGTATTATTTAAACAAACAAAAAAAAACTAATATTTTATTGTCTATTGCCAGAGGGGAGGGCTCCAAGGGTGGAGATGCAAATGACAATTACTATTCATTAATGGCAGTTACTATTCATTAAAGTCAGTTACTGTTCAATATGGTGGATTCAATAGTGGATTGCCAGGGGAAGGGTTCCATGGATGGAGTTGATCTAAGTGATACCAAACCCGTTCATACCAATATAGCATGTATGTATGTATATATGTAGAAAATCTTTCACATTGAATTGGTATGAGCTTTTACCGAAAAAAAACATAGCAATTGGACCTTAGGCCTTTTGTGGACTCGACCTAAAGAGGAATTCATTGGGCCTTATGAGTGTTGAGGTCCATTTTAATAAAAATAAATAAAAACATCTAATTAATTTCCCGGTTTAGTGCGGTTGAATTCGGTTTTTATTGTCTACAAATCGAAAATTAAATTGGCCTGAACCGGTTTTGTAGCCCAGCAGACACAAACCACGAACCACAAAACAGAACCCTAAGGGTGTGTTTATTGCATCAGACTATCTTAGACTGGACTAACTTCAGGAACTAAACTGGATTGGCTTGGCATGAACACTGGACTAACTTCAAAAACTAAGTTGCATTAGTTTGACATGGATTGGCTTCGCATGAACTAAGCAGTACTAGAATTGTGAAACGTTTGGTGCAGTACCGGACTGGCCCAGACTAAACTTTTTTAATTATGAAAACTTCCACTTTCTTGTCAAAAACTTTTTTCAAGAGAGAAGATGCTTCATTCAGAATACCATTCATTTGCTTTACATGAAAGTCTACATATTTTTTCATCATTGTCAGCCACCAATACATTTACAAATTGCAACTACTTAGTGCTTAAACTTGAGTTCCTTCACATATTCTTCAGTGCCCTTCAACCACTTGTCTACGTCTTGAGTGCTTGAATTGCAACAGCGCAGTCTACGGAGTGTCCAGAATATGTAAACCCATGAAAAAAAGAACCAAGCTTGCTGCTGACATCTGAAACTTCTGGGCTCACAAGAACAATGCATTGGCATTTATGAACCTAAAGTTAAACTAATGCATCAAGTGTAAGATTATTATTGCGGAAACAAACATGAACACAAATACAATTACCCACTAACCTTGCGAAACCATTGCAGCTTAAGAAAATAGAGCTCTTCTACCCTCGACACTACTGTATGCAATTAACAAATAATGGGGCTTGTTCTTTTGCGTAATTAGTGTGAATGCAGGACCCCTATTATATATCCTCAGTGGTGGTATTTGATTAGGTTACTTCCCATCATGTAATCCTAATACAATCATATAAACAAATATCCTTATCACCGCAAACCAAAGTTATCATATCAGAATAGTTAACTTATTGAAAACCGAGACTACTTATAGCTGTGTATCAATCCAAATACATTCCCTGATAGCTTTACAAGTATAGTTCATCCCAAACTCTTATGACTTCAATCCCTTAAGCACGTGTAAAACAAGCGATAAGCTCTAATTAAGCTTACATTCTCCCACTAAAGCTAACACATGTTTTACATAAGCCACCATATAAGAAATCATTCTTGAGTGGCCACGAGAATAGGAACAACAAATTCCCAGTAACAAGTTTCTGTCATTGGCTAGCATTCATGAAGAACTAAAGGGAATTATGTCATAGAATTCACAAACATGCAAAGTAAGACTAACCACCTCCCCGCTGAAGTCAACTGTTGTATTCTGATGTGTATAATTGATAAATGGCATTCCCAATTCACTGACACCGACAATGGCCAATATTACAGTCATGAATTAACAATCTCGAAGGATTTTCCGCACCAGACCATCAATTTAAACAATAACAACAGCTACATTCATGTGATTCGAGTTTCACCATAACAAAAAACCAGAAAATCCATAAAGCAGCACACAAATGCATATTATCACAAGCATACAACCAAGACCGGGTGTAAAAAGACCCACATATAACAATATCGGTCAGAAATCCATCAATATTTGAAGCAAAAACAACACAATAAACCGAACGGACAAAACCCAAAGCAAAAACAAACACATGCAATCAAAATACAGAATACACCAAGTAATGAATCAATGGAAGATCAACTTTATCATTTCCAATTGCCCTGTAATGTATTGAGCAACCTCCGTCAAGCCAGGACGCCCCTCCTATCAACAAATTGGGAAATTGCGAATAAGTACCTCAACCCAAAACAAAACATTGTCCCCAATCTCTCCAATAGCAATTACAATGGGGAATTCAAATAAAACCCAGCGAAAAATCCCAATTTTTTTCTTTCAATTTGGACAAAAAAGGGAGAAAAATGCAGTGAGGGCAATGAAAAGTGAGCTCACCTGGCGGTCGTCGATCTCTTGGGCCAAGACTCGAACGTGCTCGACGGCTCTGGCTTCCGAGAAGCAATTGAGAGGGACGCCGATCTCGACCTGCTTGATGAATGGAGGGAGAGAGAGAAGTAGATAGATAGGGCAAGGGAGAGAGAAGCAGATGAAGCAGATAGATAGAGCAAGGGAGATAAGCGGACGAAGAGAAGCAGATGAAGTGAAGCAGCGAAGGTCTTAGCAATCCGATGCTTTTTCGATGGGACTCGCTAAGACTGTCTAGCGACGTCCGGCTAGTCCCACTAAAGGTTGTCCTGCTGCGTAACAAACAAGGTATTGCTCTAAATTTTAGTCCAGTCTAGTCCAGTGAAGGCTATTGGTGGCAACCAAACACAAGTTTCTAAAGCTACTGTAAAACCTCTCTCCACCGCTGACACACCTCAGAACGAAGCATAGAGAAGCCCGCCTCCATCACCATCCAGAACCAGCCTCCATCACCATCCAGAAAACCAAAGTTGAAGAAGAAGAAGGCCGCACCATCCTCCACGGACCACCAAAACGATCGTCACTCAGAAACAAAGGAAGAAAGATCCAATGAGCGACATCGCTAATAAGGGAGAATACGGGAAGGACCAACAAAGGTCAAAAAGTGAAGCGTGTTCTAAAATCGATCGTGGTGCAGTGGAATAAATAACAGGACATAAAATTTACGAGGTTTTTCTACAGTCACTGTGACTAGAGTACATTTTCGGGGCAGCAGTGATGATTTCATTGTAATCTGCAATAATAAGAGTACAAAGATAACTCTCTCTATTATCTTCTCTCGTCTTCTTTCCTCTCTCTCTACCGTGAGTCTCTCTGTATGTTTTTTTTTATTGCATTCGAGTGCTCTATTTATAGAGCAACTCGTATTATTACAATTTCACATTTACAACACCCAATGTAGAAAAACGATCTCCTGCATCCAAAGTCAATTTCCATTTTCATGGGTATTGAAAACTTATGCCAAAGTTGAAAACGCATTCTGTGTGAGAATTGGAAAGTCTTCCAAGGTACTGTGGGCATTCACTACCCAGCAGTATTTTCAACACTCCCCCTTGGATGCCCACATATCAACATTAGTTACCTCGTTAAGATCTTGATCTGTTTTGGATGCTCCCCCTGTTTTCAAATCATTTAAGTTGATCGTTGATCATTCTGCTTCAGTCTCTTACTAAGAAGAGTTGCCGAAAGAGATGTTTTACTTGTTAACTTTCCATAGGCTTGTTCTTGAACTGAGCTGGAGGGCTTTCTGCTAGACTTGCTTCAAAAGTTTGAATTTACTCCTTTTATCTGAAGCTGAATTTTATTCAAGGGTGGTGGACACTTGACTTTGAATCGGACTTGTGATTTCTTCAAGGACCTTCGAGGCTTGATCTTGAATGAAATTGGACCATGAGGAGCTTCACGTGGCAAGTGATCTTCGGTTTTGTCGGGGATGCTTCAATGTATCATTTTCACTTTCCTTACTTAATCCCCTTGCTTAAGTAGTATTTTCCCTGGGTTTCCCCCATGCATGTGTGGCATATTCTGCTGCAGTATTTGCCTTCTGATGCAGTAGTGGAATGCAACCCTTGTATTTGGATGGTTCATTACTTCTTGGTGACTGGAGACCCAGCTCCAACAACAGTTGAAGATGACTGCTCGAGAGCTAAGTAAGCAATCAGGAAAGGTTCCAGGCAGTCGGTTCCTTACCTGGAGTTTGAGTGGAGGTTCTGACATATTGCTTTCTTTATCCTTGTCTTTGCAGGTAAGAACAAGGACAAAGGAAAGGACATGGAGATTGCATGATATGAAATACTCTTGCTCTCGTCCCTGAAGATATGAGATACTCTTGCTCTGGTGTGACTTGTTTGAAGAGGTATTCTCGGAAAGGAATAAAACTGAGTATGTTGAGAGGTTTGGTTGCAGATGCATCTTCGGCAATGAGAGAGAGAGTTAGGAGTTTTGGATGTGTGTCTTGCCATGGAGGATGAAAGTCGACATATATAAGGATTTCCCCAATAGTAGGTAGTGGTGTGGATGTGACTTTGTCATCCACGCTTGTCGACAACAGTGTTGTAGTTGAAATAGTGAAATTCACGCGTTTTCAACTTTATCAGAGATCTTTGACAAAGTTGTATGTGATATCCAAAAGTTGAGATTGCGTCTGAAAAATGCCAACAAACTTTATTCAGGAAAATCTGGCTTTTGAAATTCAGAGAGTTGTGCTTCTTCGGTCTCTGAACAAGTGGCTATATTGCCTCTTCTTTTATAGAGGTATTGCTTGTATTCAAATTTGCACACTTTGAAGATTTCCCACTTGTGAAAATTGTCTCTGCTGTATTTCTAAGATTTCACTATATCCAACCTTTTTCTTTCATCAACTTCTGAAAATGGCTTGCCCATCTAACATTTGCTTAGATTTGAGTCTTAAGACTAATAAAGGCGAGCCCCATCAGGATAATATATGGCGCCCGTCTTTCTTATCTTCAAATGATCCTCTTACGGTTGGGGACTCTGTGATGAAGAATGACCTAACCGCTACAGTGGTAGCTAGGAATCTTCTCACTCCCATGGATAACAGAATCTTTTCAAACCGATCTGATGAGGCTGTCGTTCAAGACTCTTTGGCTCTCAGTATTCAATGTGCAGGCTCTGTATCCAATATGGGCCAACGCCTACTTGCTCAAACTCGCCAAGTTGAATCATTGATGGCTGAGGTGGCAAGTCTTAAACAAGAGATTAGAGGGCTCAAGCACCAGAATAGAGTGTTACACATGCTTACAAATAATTATTCAACGAGCATGAAAAGAAAGCTCGATCAGCTACTAGAATCCGAAAGTCGGACGCAAAGTGACAATCAAGGGTTCAGGTCTTTATTCCAAAGACATCCATTGTCTCAACCGTCTGGAGTTTCACCAAGTACTGAGGTTCCAAATAATCAACCTCTGGTGCCTCCCCCTTCTGGAGTACTTCCGAGTACTAAGGCTTCACATGAGCAACCTTTGTGAAGGTTCCCTCATGTTTTCATGTGTATGTTTGTAATTTCTCGGAGATATGAATAGATAAGCTTTATTTCATTCAATGTATTGTGTCAAATATAATAAAGCATATATTGCACTAAGATGTGGTACTTCTGGACCAAATATCAATTCAACTTTTCGCTCACGAAGATGAATGATTTTTCTTAGTGTCTAAATATTTGAGTATTCAACTCATAATCTTTAATCCATATGGTTCTTTAATATCATAAACATCATGGATAAGATTCGTGTTGGCATATTGTTCGATCTGCAGTTCGAGACAATATTTCTCTCAACACTTTATAATCTTTCTTGACTCTTCACGAATCCCAATTTAACATCATCAACTCTTAAGGAGTTCTAATTTAATGTCATCAATTCTTGCAAGAGATTTTAGTATGTTGCAACAATATCATAATGATAGTACTCACTAAGGCAATTATACCACTCATTGGTATTGAGTACATATTTTATGTTTTACCCTTCGGATGCTTACTTCAAGCAATTTGAATCCTTCAGGGATTTTCTACACTTCATGACACATTTTTCTTTGGAATTTATACAGAGCAACTTGCTCCCATGTATAATTGAAGGATTTACTTATGGAGATATGATGTGGGCGACTCACAACCCTTCGTATATAATTCTCCATTCATATGAACTCGTTTACAACCTTGTGTCATATCATGTGAGTGTATTTCACTGTATTACAAATGCCCAATGTAACCTCCTTGGTTCAACATCTTTTGGCTATTTGTATTATATTCAAATATATAGGTCCATGTTTTCACGTTCTTACAAAATTGTAATGGAATTTCCTTTCTCCATCTTTGTTTTTCGTTGAAAAGAACGAGACTCAATATCAACACAACTCATTGATGATTTTAGTAGCTATTTGTAAGAACCAAAATTACCATTGGTTATCATCAATCTATGATCTCATATTCTCATGTGCATGCACATGCATAAAAGCTTTTTATTTCTTTGGATATCCATTGCCTCTTCAAGGGTATTACACTATCTCTTCCAGGATAGTCGTAATTTAGAGAATGCGTATCATAACCTCTTCTTGAGCATTATAGAGCTTGGATCTTAATCTCCACTTTCGGGAGTTGAGTCATTGGAACCTATACGTCTATCATGCTTCATGCATAAGACATCAACATTCCCATGTCCGCGAATTGTCCTTTCTGGGATGTGAATCCATGCGGCAACTGTCATGCTTCTAGCATGCAACAGTTATGCTTTGGGAATGTAATAATTCAGTAATGTCATATTCTTCTTCTTTCAAAAGACTGAATCTTCTGAGTCTGAGGGTTTGTCACACTTCAGGTGTGTAACATATAACTCATTTACTGCCTCATTATTTTGTCCAAATAGGGACATCAATTCTTGTAAGCACATTTGCAACAAATATATGTGATTTCATCACTTTTGTTGCATCATTAAAGGCATCTGGCATTTGATTGACACATCATTGCATCATTCAATTATTCTTACTTCATTTTCATGTTGGTTGCTTCGTGAATCAAAATAAGACAAATTCTCTTCGTTCTTCTGGAACGATCCTTTATTGTCATTCTCTGGAATGATATTTTCTCCCCTTAACGGCGGGGAAATTGTCTTATCAAAATGACAGTCCGCAAACCATGCAATAAATATATCCCCAGTTAAGGGTTCTAAATATTAAATGATAGATGGTGTTCAACATCAATGCCCATTTCAGTACATTATGGCAGTGCAATAGACACATAGATAACACAACAAAAAACTCGTAAATGTATAATGTTTGGCTAGTGCCCAAACACGAGTTGTACTGAGGAATATTGATGGTTGGCAACTGGTATCAACCGAACTTAATAATGCGTCATGTAAAATGACATGTCCACATGTAGAAAACTGGTAATTTCGTTTTCATGAGTAGAGCGCGAGTAATCAATTTCATCCGCTTAATAAATGCTTCTGCTAAACCATTTTGAGTATGGACATAAGGAACTTCTGGTTCTTATTTAATAGTCTGTAGACTGAGACTCTTATGGCTTTTATTACAATTAAATTGAGGCACTATGGCACTTCAAACTTACGGTACTTATCAAGGAACTTTATGTCTTGATCTTGAGGATCAAGGGACTTCATGCTCGATCCTTTTTGTATGATGGAACTTCATGTCCAATCATTTTTATATGATGATGATCAAGAAACTGCAGGTTCTGATCTAATCAAGGAACTCTGGGTCCTTGTTATACTCATCGTAACAAAATATACGTACAATAAATAAATTAAAGCAATAGGCGGTAATTCCAGCCATAGTAAATAAATTGCATTTAAGTAAATAAAGCTTGTGAAAAGGGCTTTAATTTAGCACCATTCACATAAATCAAAACTTAAAGCCGTAGGCGGTAAAACTGTCAATGATAAATAAATTGCTTTAAAGTAAATAGATATTGTGAAAGGGTTTTAAACCAACACCAATTCACATAAATAAATATATATTTTTCTTCTTTCTTTTCAGATGGTATGACATATACCATTTCCCATTCCCGTGTTTTCTTCAATTTTTCTTGCATGGCCTAGAGAACATAGCATCGCGAAGTAAGAACCTCCATACAGGAACATAGATGACAGCGGGGTTGATGGAGGTACAAGAGAGGGAGGCCTATGTGGAGTCAGTCTTGCCATCACCATCTTAGACAACCGAGTATTCATGGGAGTTCTCGAGATCCGTCGAAAACGACGCGATCTGGGTTTCCAAGCCTGATGAGATTTTTCTGGATCTCTGGAAACCAGTTGTCAGGTACGAGTTTTCTTATCTTGTGACGACTACAGGTCGTTGTAAATTTCAATTCTCACCGGAATTCGGTGGGGTGCTTCTGGCGCGGTGGGAGATACAGAAAATGGACACACATTTTATTATGTGAGATTTTTGGCTAGCAGAGGTGGGAGGTAGGTAATGTTTCACCGGATTTATGGCGTTGTGCTTTCCACTGACATGAGAGCTTATAGTGCTGATAACGTGTTGTAAAATCGACGGTGGGTGTAGTGGAATAAATAAACAGGACACAAAATTTACGAGGTTCCTCTACAGTCAGTGTGACTGGAGTACATCATCGGGGCAGCAGTGATGCTTTCATTGTAATCTGCAATAATAAGAGTACAAAGATAACTCTCTCTATTATCTCCTCTTCTCTTCTTTCCTCTCTCTCTCTACCGTGAGTCTCTCTGTATGTTTTTTTTTATTGCATTTGAGTGCTCTATTTATAGAGCAACTCGTATTATTACAATTTCACATTTACAACACCCAATGTAGAAAAACGATCTCCTGCATCCAAAGTCAATTTCCATTTCATGGGCATTGAAAACTTATGCCAAAGTTGAAAACCCATTCTGTGTAAGAATTGGAAAGTCTTCCAAGGTACTGTGGGCATTCACTACCTAGCAGTATTTTCAACAAAGCGAAGCGAATTGAGATTTAGTGGAAAGATAATGAGGCTATTTAGACATTCTCAACAAAGAGAAGGACACACTACATAGCGCTTCTTATTAAAATTAATTTGTGATACATGCAAAGACAAAGCCAAAGATTCAATGGATGGGGGCAATACTTAAACAATAAAATCACAAATTAAAAGAGCTAAAGAATTACTAAACAAAATACTTATATATTAATACATAAAATTTTTCATTACAACATCCCTCGACTCATTTTCATATTTTAAAAGCGTTGCATGACAACTTCATTACTAACACAATCAAATATCTCTCTATCTATAGAAAAATAATCATGTTATTATTCATCCATTAGTCACCTATCTGATTTCTCAATCTATTCTTCCAAAATTCTTGGGCGAAAATGTGCAGTATCAATTAGAACAATTAATGCTAATATCACAAGCAAATAAACTAGTGATACACTTTGCTAATGTCACAAGCATGTTCATTTTTTTGCAACCAAATGAGTGGGGGCATCTGCCCCCCCTAACCCATGGTGGCTCTGTCCATGAATACATGTTTGATTACAAAAAAAAAAAAGTCATATTGGTAGATAAATACAATTAAGAAATAACATATATGAATAGGGCTATAAGAAGAAATAATTAAAGAGATAATTAGAAGGAGAATTCGTATGCTACATTTTAAAGCGATGATTATTAATAATAAAATAGTCCTAAACTCAAAGAATCGAACATATTTTAATAAAACAACTATGTTTAATATGGGTCAAAATTTGAACCCATTTCGTAGCATAAATTACACGAAACTTTTTCTAGAACAAGAAAATGAGACATGGGTGCTTACCTCAGTTATTTAAATAGTTGACCTATGCATATACATCACTTGTTTTGGATATTTATCTACGCGATTTCATCTCCCATCAAAATTCGGGAAACAAAATCCCAAATCCGATTTGAAAACAAAAATTTTATTTTACTTAATTAATCCACGCGCGAAATCAGGTAACCGGTAATCCTATTCCCCCAAACCCAACTGTATTTGTATTTTGTATCGTTACGGATTCGAATCCTTTTAACTTTCCCCTTTCAGGCCAGCACAAATCTTCACCTTTTTTCCATACAAATCCCCTACGCCCCACCTCACTATCTCTTTCCACGTTTCCACATCTTATTCGCTGTTGACAGCCCACAGCTTCAAACAAATGGCTTGTAGATCCCAATTGTAATAGGTCGGCACGCACCCGATCCCCGCCGCCGCAAGATGTACGCGTCAAATTTTCAAAAACGTGTGAATGGCCTATATATATACATCTGTTGTTAGTCAAAAGCTATCAAACAGAAACAGAAAAGCTCCAAATCTCTCTCATCACTCTCTCTCTCTCTAGAAAGTCTCTCTCACTGTGTTTGCTGCGATGTCAAAGAGCGATTTGGTTTCCAAAGGCTCGGGAGACGGCGCCGCCGGCTCCATGGAGGAGCTGAAGAAGGTCTTCGACAAGTTCGACAAGAACGGCGACGGCAGGATCTCCTGCGACGAGCTCAGGGGCGTTTTCGGCGATCTCGGTTCCGAGACGGCCTCACTGGAGGAGGTCCAGCGCATTATGGCTGAGTTCGACAAGGACGGCGACGGTCACATTGACATCGAGGAGTTCGCCGAGATCATCAATGGCGGATCCACCAAGGAGCTTCGCGACGCGTTCGACCTCTACGATCTCGACAAGAACGGGCTGATCTCCACGAGTGAGCTGCATGAAGTGCTGAAGCGGTTGGGGCAGAAGTGTTCGCTCAAGGACTGCGCGAAGATGATCAGCTCCGTCGATGTCGACGGCGATGGCCACGTCAACTTCGCCGAGTTCAAGAAGATGATGACTCGCAAATAAAGCGATTGAAGCGAATGGATCGGTAAAGCAACATAACAGTACAAAAAATTAGTTAGTATAAAATTAGAGTTTAATTAGGGATTTGGATTTAAATATCTTAGAGATTGACGTAGTTAATTTTAAGGTATACAAAACCTATTGAAGTATTACTGGTGCTAATTGTTCGCGTTTTCAAATATTTTTCTTCTGGTTTGTTCTATTTTGCTTTATCTTCTTTTAATTTTTTAATTTTATTTTACGGCTAATGGTTTGTTTGCTTTGTTGAATTCAACTGCAAAATTTAGAGTGATTTCAATGTGTTTAGTCGTTAAATTTGATTTCCACACGTTTTTGCAGTTGAAGAAAAATGGTGAAAATTAAATTATTATATTTGGTTTTTATTTAATATTTTATTTATTGTATTGGTAGATTTATTATGCAAGTGGGTGGGAGTAACAAAAAGGGTGGTTGGTATTGATAAAACTTGGGTGATGATGTTCCCGTGTTTGAGGTGGTAACGGTGGTTGTACGAAATATAAATACACATGCGGTCATGTGTCCTGTCTTTTTTGCTGACCTCAACGCGGAATTGGACTTTTTGCTTGCTTTGTTTGCCTGTTCTTCTTTTGTGGGTTGTTTTATTCTCACTTTACAGATGGTTGAATACACTACATATACTGAATACATCTTACAATTACTTTTTCAATTCAAATTGAATAAATTATATAATACATTTTTAGGTTTGAGGTTTATTACAACCTCATACAACATCTTTAAAATGTTTCACTTAATACTATTTTATTTCAAAATAATACATCTGTTAGATTTTCTATCTATTGGTCTGTTAAATGCTGACGTGGCTGTCACATTTATGCTAATGTAGCTGCCACGTGGCAAAAAAAATTTATACATTAAAAATATTATAATATTAACCCTACTTAAAAAAAATAAAAATAAATAAATAACCCAAACATAGAAATCCTTCCCCGCAACCCCACATCCCACCCCCACCCCCTTACCCATCTCTTCCTTCCCGTCTGTCCATCCCCTCCACCCGTCCATCCATTCCTTCCACCCCTCCATCCCCTCCACCCGAGCACCCCTTAGCGCGGGTCCCACCTCGACCTATCTCTCTCCTTCCCTCTCTCTCCTCGGTAAAATGTGGAATTTGTGATGCGAGTGTGGTTTTTGAGGTCTAGTGCCTCGCCTACACCGTCCTCCCAACCGCTTCACCTACACCGTCCTGACTCAACCACTCCAACAACCCTATCCAAATTTCTCCATATATTCTTCTCCCCTCCCAAAAAAAAAAAAAAAAACTCCTAACTTTCACTCCCACTCTCAAAATCCAAATTCCAGCCATTGTTGATGGACCATCGTCTTGCCTTCTCAACCCTCAAGCTCCGCATAACCACCGTCTTCACTCTTTCCCACCCCGCCGTCTAATCGTGGACCGCTGATCGGTTCTTGAGGCCGTTGACCGTCGTTGCCGGAGCCGGGGCGAGCCACTGCGAGTTCAGCAGCCTCAACTTGCCTCTTGACCCCCGAACCTGACCCGGAAAGGACCTCTGCACCATCTTGTAGAATCATCCGCATCTATTCCATCTTGCGATCACTCAGGAGTTAAAGAAGTTGGCCGATGATCGGGAACTCACTCTTTCGCTTGCGTCTCTCAATGCCGCCTCACATGAGGCCTGCCTTCATAGGTATTTTCTTAAATCTCATTACTTTTTTTTTTCTTCTGGTTTTGCTTAAATTTCATATGAACGTATAAAGGTTCTATTTTTACAGTAATCTTTCCAGATTTATGTGATATTTTTATTTTTATTTTTTGTAATTTTTCTCGTAAAGATTGAAACTTTTTTAAAGTTGTTATTGTGATGTTTAAGCAATTTAACTGTAAAATAATGACTAAAATCCAATCCCTCTAGCTGTTCATCTCCTAATTTGTAAACGGGTTGGTTGGTGGGTAGAATCAGGTATGGAAGTGCTTTAATGGGGATGAATTGCGAGCTGAGTGGTGGATTTTGTAAATGGGAGTTGCAAAGAGGTGAGGGGAACGAAGGGGATCTGGGTTTGGGTTTTTTTTGTTTTTTGTTTTTTTTTAAATAGGGTTAATGTTATAATCTTTTTATTGTATATAAAAAATAAAAATAAAAAATTTGCCATGTGGCGGCCACATCTAGGGGTGGGTTCGGTTCAAATCGGTTCGATTTTTTGCCACATCTAGGTTTGGTTTTTTTTTTCTGTTCGGTTTTTTCCGGTTCGGTTTCGGTTTTTTGTTTTTGTTTTTTTTTCAAAAAATGAAAAACATTGAAATTTTAAATTTTAACATCTCCAACACAATCATAACATAAACATTCTAACTAGAATCAAAGACAATGAAAATAAACATTTAAAGTTAACTAAAATCATCAATCAAGTCTTCCAAAGTCCAAACTAACAACCTCACAACACAAAAATCGTACAAATGACTTAGAAAAGTTAAATTGCATGATGTTGTTCAAAGATCAGGGTTGTTTGCTTGTAACTGCATGTTGACAACTTGATTAGTAAAAGTAATGCGTGGGTGGATTTATTTAGTGTGTGTTAGATTCTTTTCCATCACAAATTACGCAAGTAATCTACCCAAAATAAATGTTTATAGATTCTGTTACATATTATATGAGAGTAGATTTAGAAAAGAAAGCTGGGGCAGAAGTAGACGGTGCTATGTAGATGGATGTAGGTACTTCAGGAGGAGGTTTGGTTCCGAAACCTTATATGGGGGAGAAATAATACGTTAGGATTTAGAGTTTTTATAGGCCTTTTTTTAATATTTTGAGCTCAAAGTTTGGCAACACATTGGGTTTAGCACATTTTAACTTACAAATTAGGTTTAGAAAATAATACCCAAAACAAATAATTAAATAAAAAATTAATTTAATTAATTCGGTTCGGTTCGGTTTGGTTCGTTTCTAGATCACTAAAACTGAAACCGAACCAAAAGAATTCGGTTCGGTTCGGTTTTTTCAATTCGATTCGGTTTTTTTTTCGATTCGATTTTTTCGGTTTTCGATTTTTGAACCCACCCCTGTCCACATCAGCACAAATGTGGCAGCCATGTTAGCATTTGTTTATACCATATTTAGGGCATCCGTATTTAGATTTCGTACAAATATTCAGGGGACTTAAATGTAATTATGTAATAAAGGAAGGAAGCAAATATGTAATAAGTGAGGAGCTCTTATTCTATAAAAGGACTCATCACCTTCACAATTAAAGAGGCCATTTCTTAAGCCTTCTCACCCCTCTCAAAGTCTCACTCTTATTACAGAGGCTCTCACACTTTTTCCCTCACAATCCTCTCAGAAATACAATAATCAGTGTGGACGTAGCTCAAACATTGGGGTGAACCACGATACATCTTGTGTTATTTACATTTCTTGCAGATTCACGGTCGGATTTACGTTGTTTCAAGACCTCCGATTTTGTGCATCACCATTTGGCGCCGTCTGTGGGAATTGATATGAAAAGTTGTGTCGGTTCTCTTTCAATTTTTCACCTCCGCCATGAATCTGCAGAAACCCAGAACCTCTCTCCTTGGGTTGTTCCAAAAAAAAAAAAGCTTGAGATTTTCATCAGAGAGTAAGTGTACCTAAAGCTGTGTCCTTTATAGTTGCTAGAGCGCAGGACGACAATCACCACTTCCTAAGAGGTTGTAAACAAAAGGAATCCGGAGCAGTGCAACACTTCTCAGCCACACTGATACGGTGTTGAGTGAGGAAACAAAAAGCTGAAATGGACACAAAGCGAGATTTGAAAGGGACGACAGAAGGCGAGAATGGAAAGAGGAAAAGGACAACGCACAGCTTGCAAAACGACTTTCAGAGCTCCATAACCTATCTTCTCCCTGCATAAACTTCCTCCTCGTGTGCTTCTCCAGGTCATCTTCTCTGTACATAAAATCCCCCACGTCTTTTCTACCATAAAGGACATCTCCCACCCCATGCAGCCTTGTAGCAGAGAAATGCAGGAAATGAACTCCCCAGCTTCCTCATCGCAACTCTCCCTTCAAGACCACCACCACCTCCAACAACGATGTCGGCAACGGCTCCTCCTTCAAAATCCACAAACATTGCAAACAGTAATGGAATTGGAGATTCGCGAAGCCTTTGCCGTTGGGATCCGAAACGACGCCGTACTCCACCACATGGCAGGTAGGTCGCTACGTGCTTTTCCTCTTCATCTTCTTCTTGCTCGGACGGAAGAAGCAGCCAACAAATGGCCACGGCGGACGGCCCCGACAACCGTACGAGTTTCAGCGCTCGCTCGTGCTATCCTGATGTTGGATGGTTGGACAAAAACGTAGATTCCGTCTTGAAACTCCGACTTTCATTCGGGTCTAAAACCCACAACAGGCTCGTCATCACACCATTCCCAGTCAATGATGATAAACCTTCATCTTGCGCACAGACGCGTATACCAGCGCCATCGCCTACCATCTCCTCCGCGTAAATCCACCATTATGGGTCACTTCCGCACACTTCCACACCAACGCCGTCGCTTGCCACCTCCTCAACACTTCCTCTGATTACACACTTCCCCGAAACTACTCAGCTCAGCAGCTTGAACTGATGGAGTGCGCTTCCAAGACGGCGAAGCTGACGGTGGACACGAGCAGCCTCTCAATCTGCATGAAAGGCAAGCACCGGGAAATCCGGGACAGGGTGGTGGAGTACTTCAACAAGCGGCCAATGTTTCAGACACCGATGGAGATTTTGAAGGACAACTACCAGGAGCTTTGCATGAAGCAGCTTGTGGGGTTAGGGAGAGAGGCTGAGATCAGGCTTTTCTGATTCGCGTTCTGGGTTGTGAGATTTCGAGATAGACAGAGAGACAAGCCGTGCTCGATGGAAATGAGCTAAAAGCCACCGGAGCTGAGCCTTTGATCGACGGGCGACACGGCCTCTACATCCATGGCTGGGAAATTGAGTCTCGCAAACGCTCCACACACACATATATATACATACATATTCCATGCCACCGACGATCAAGGAGACTGGAGACTGGAAATTTCTTTGCTTGTGATCATATCCCTTCCTGCACATAGTGACAGGTTTAGCCCATCTTTTGGATCACCTCAATTTCTACGTTATCACTTTACGCTACTCATTCCTCTCAGCTCATAGACAGAACAGAGAGAAAGGTGCGGTGGAAAACAGGAAGAAGATAAGTTTTCTTACAATATTTCTATTATTATTCTCCTTTGTGTTGTCTGCCATATGCCAAAAGGAAGAAGAGAAAAATGAAAGCGAAAGCAAAGCAGAAAGAGAAAAGAAGAAAGCAAAAGCAAAGCAGAAAACGAAAGCAAAAGCATAGCAGAAAACAAAAGCAAAAGCAACGCACCAACGATCTGCAACTGTCGA